CCCGTCGCGCCTCGAACCCCGGAATTTGGAACCGGAACACGTGCTCTCACCAGTTGGAGTCTAGCGCTCTCGCGACTTAGCTACGCACTGAGCTTTTGAAATTTGAATGAACGGTTTGAAATTTTGCTTGAATTTGTAACGTGAATGTTCATATATTCTTGATTAATGCTCGTTCATATTTTAACTACATATGCGGAGAAGCGTCGAAAAGTTTACGAGTATTCTTTGCAATGGATTCGATGGATTTTGCCTAAAGCTGCTTCTGACATAAGATAACCCGCGCCGTGCTGGTTGTCGAGTTTTCCGTGTCGTGCTGGTGAGGGGGCGTTTTACCGCCTGCCCCCGTCTAACTCGGCTCCTGGGCCACATAGCGACACGCGGTAAGCGGCATTCGAAAGAGCCTAAAAAATAATGAAGAAAACACATCGGTCATTTTCAAGGTCAGGTCAAAGTCAGGTCGCCAGAGGTCATCAAAGTTCAAATTTTGCCTATTTTAACAATTTTCGAAAACCCGGAGCATAGCTCGGGAACCAGTAGAGCTACATCGCCGCGGAAAAGCAAATTCGGTAGCCCTTTCAACGCTCTTCGCTGACCTCAGACCTGTTTCTGTTTATTTTAACCTGTTTCCTCCATTGACTTTTAATGGAGAGGTCGTAAAATTGATACGACGCTAGGTCACAGATATCGAAATTCCGAGATATACATGCATTGGTGTTCTGTCAGCCGCGAACGTATAGGGGGGTGGGTCCGTTGGCCCCCCCCCCTCCTCCCTTGCCGTTTGGCTCCTGATCAAGCTAGAGCTTCGCGGAAAAATGAGCGTGCTGCCCGTGACGAGAGGAAGCCGATGATGCGACCCCCCTTGCCGTTTGGCTCCTGATCGAGCCAGAGCTTCGCGGAAAAATGAGCGTGTTGCCCGTGACGAGAGGAAGCCGATGATACCCAATTTTAACCCGCGCCCGGCTGGGGGTCCTGGATTTCCACGCCCTGCTGGGGGGGGGGGGGTGTGTGTCTGAACACCCCCCCCCCTTCTAACTCGGCTCCTGGGCCACGTAGCGATACGCGGAAGGCAGCGTTCGAAAGAGCGCCAAAAATAATGACGAAATCACTTCGGTCAATTTTTTGGTCAGGTCAAAGGTCAGGTCACCAGAGGTCATTGAAGGCAAAATTTTGCCGATTTCCAGGTCGAGTGTCGACAATTTCCAAGAAGCCAACGCATAACTCGGGAACCAATAGAGCTACAGCGCCGCAGAAAAGCGCATTCGATAGCCCTATTAACGCCCTTTCTGAGTAATTCTCTCAGATTTGACCTAACGTCAACGGTTTTGCCTGCAGGGGGCAAAAACTGCAAAAATAGCCGATTTTTTCGGAAACAGTTTTTCTGCAATAACTTTTGACCCAAGCCTTGTACGAGCTTACTTTTACCGGCATCGTGTCTTTCGTCAAGACGCATCGAATGAACAATAACTTGACCTTGAAAGGTCAACTTGAAAATTTGACCTCAGGTCAAGGTCATGACCTGACCGGAAAGGGTCATGTTGCATATCAGTCGATCCGTATCGTCGAGCTGAACACATCTAAGGCGTTTTCATCGCTCTAGCATGCCTCTATCAAAAGTTATTTGCGAAAAACTGTTAGATACCATTCGTGACCTAAGATGACCTCAGGGGCATAAACAGGGGTCACAGACACCATTTTCATGTTCAGTGTGTCTAAACCACTTGTAATTCAGTGTTTGGGAGTGTTTATAATGTCATTGGTCCAAAAGAGGCGCATTTCAATTTTCTCCCATTGACTTATAATGGGGAGGTCGCAAAATTGACCTGACCTTTGGTCATCGATATCCAAATTCTGAGATATACATTTTGTACATGCTATTACTCTTAGCAATCGCTAAAAGTTTCAAAGCGGTCGGTCACTCGGTGTAGCTATGGCAGACATTGAAACTTTTTATGAGGTGAGGTCACTTCAAGTGACCTGGTGACCTGACCTTGAATGACCTTGGTCTGAAATTTTCACAACATGTGTAGAATTGATGTATGATAAGGTGTGCCAAAAACGGCGGCGCTCCGCGCCGCCGTTTTTGAGATATTTGCGAAAAACCACAAGGGTGTGTGTGTGTTCAAACACCCCCCCCCCAGCAGGGCGCGGGTTAAGGTCCTAGGTCATTGGTTGACCTTCTAGGTCAGGTCAATGGCCCAAAAGTCGGGAAAATCGGGACCTGTTAGAATGTGTTAAGGTGTGACTGTTAAGGTTTTTCGGGGAGCTGATCACGAACACCATGTTAGTTTTGATCGCAAATGATGTCTTCATGCAAATAGGGCAGGCCAAGTCAGGTCAGGTCAGGTCAACCAGAAGGGGTCTTGCCGGGTATTCGTAGTAGGTGTCAACCGCCTTTGACAGCTTCGTAACATTTTGCGAAGGCGCCAAAGCTACTTCGTAAGTGTTCAAATTGTTGCTAACTTTGAATTGAGCTCTTAAAACCAGCCCAGAAACATGTTAAACTCGAAAAAGTAAACCGAGGTCATCAAAGGTCAGTGACCTGACCTGACCTTCAGGTGACCCTGACACCCACCCTAATGCATGGGACCAACATCATATCACATGTTTGAACGCTTGAAACCACGAGAAGACTGCAAACGCGCGGCTAATGCGAGCCGACATACGCCGAATCTTGATTCTGGCCAAACATGGTCTCGAGAAATAGGTCACAGGTCAAAGGTCACTTGGGTCAGGGTCATTTATTTTTCAGGGTACCTATGTATAAAATTGAATTACCAGAGGATACCGAAGTTTCGTCACCATCGGCCACTTTACGCGAGTTATTCGCGAAAACCTGAGGGTGGATCCGTTAGACCCCCCTCCCCTATAAGGGCAAGCGATCGTTCAGTCGATATAGCTATAGCGAGTATTGTAACTTTTAAGAGGTCAGGTCTTTAAGAGGTCAGGTCACCAGGTCACTTGACGTGACCTGGTGACCTGACCTAGAACGACCCTGGTCTGAAATTTTCACATGTGCAGAAAAGATGTATGAACGCGCCGCCGTTTTATTAGATATTTGCTGAAACCTGAGGGGAAGGGGCATAAAAACGCCCTCTCCCAGCATGGCGCGGGATAATATACTATATGTTTGTCACTCTTTGCATAATGGTATAATGCCATGCAAAATGCTAATGGGAATGAAGACGTGGAATTTTGTTTGCTTTTAGATATATTATATATGTAGATCTAAAATTGTTTAAGGGATATTACATTTAAGATATGGTGTTGAGTGCTCTTGCGAGGAACATCTTGTTATAATAACTCAAAATGAATGACCTTTTCCTCGAATATAGAAAGTTTAAATGTCGAAAATGATGTATTTAGGTGAATTTTCGCCCACAGGGCATCATCAGACAAGCAATTGGCACAAATATTGGGTCTGATGATGCCCTGTGGGCGCAAATTCACCTAAATACATCATCTTCGACATTTAAACTTTCTATACTCGAGGAAAAGGATATAACATTTACTCGCCTTGTTTTTCTTTTTTAAATAATTTGGGTACCAGACGCTCTGGCGTGGTTTAGCAAGTTCTTCTGCTTTCACAAGAAATGGGACCCGATTTACATACTTGTTTTGGTGATCTGAAAAATGATTATATTCTTACTTGATTTGGAACCAATGACCTATCTTACAGTGTAAGTGCACGTTTTTGTTACCAGTATTTCGCATTGACGGATTCCTACATTCTCCGTTTGTGATGTGATAAAATCGAACTTTGTTGTAATGCTTTCATGGGCTTCAAAATGTATTGCAATTCGGAAGTGATTTGTTTTTCTACAAATTATGCCCTTTCATCAATGGTAATTGTTGGTTTTATTTATGCCATCAATCCTTGGTAATTTGATATTTAACGGGAGAGAATTAGCATGGTTTAGGCATCGAGTCGAATTTGGCTTTTCTTAAGATGTTCCGGTCATCAGTGTTTTCATCCAGGTAGTTTGTGGAATTTTTTTTAAAGAAGCTAAGGACTGGTATTGGTTAATTTCAGTAATGCCTCATCGAAGTTCCTTTTTTTGTTCAATAGCATTTGTTTCATGCTTATGCTTTCGTTCTTACGGGGCTGTCATTTTGTAAGTTCCCACTGAACTTTCATCAATTTGGATTTAACGGGTTAAAAACTAGGCAGGAAACACGTCATTTTCCTAGAACTTAACTCTCTTGTATTTTAATATATTGTATAGTTGTAGGTAGTCTATCATTCGTGCTGTTCTCAGTATCACCACTCACCAGCCGTGCGAACAAAGAATGAGCCGTATTTACATAGTCAGGCACTGCCTTGGCCGTGGTTAATTTGGAACAAGCAGTTACTTCAAATATATGCGATATATGACATGAATATGCAGTTCATTTCCCAGCTTTGGTAGGCAAAAGGTGATGCAGTGTCTATGAAAGCGATGGCTAGAAGAAGATGCAATGTTCTAATGAAATCTTGAGATAGCCATTGGCTCGGTGTTTAGATGGCTGTAATGGGTCCCCTCGGTTAAGCGGCAAACAGCCGACATGACTTGATTGCCGCGAATGGCTATACAACGGACAAGTTCGCCGTTTTCTGTACTGGGTTTGGTTAGTTTGGGTGCCGAACATTGACCTGTTTTTTTACCTAAAGTATGTAATGACTCCTACCTTTGATGTGCTCCTGATATTTGTTAACCTTGACATTAGCTGTGGTAAGTAGGAATGTCATGCCCATGATGGTGGTAAGGAGATTAGAGGCTTAAGATGACGAGCTGACAACATGTTACTGCGATGTTGCCCCAGCTAAATGCGTAATATTAGGCACTGGGTAACTTTAAAAGACTAATCATCAACACCATCTGTTAATTTAGATTAGCCAACCCTCAATTATGTTTGAATCATATAGCAATATCCAAAAGTCGCACTTAAAACACTTTCTTCTTTGCATAAGCCCACAAACTATTTGTGTTTCGCCTTTATTACGATGCGTTGTCTTTTTGCAGGAACCGGAGAGCACCCGCGAGCGCCGGCATCACGCCACGTCATGGAGGTATCCAGAGAGGCGACACCGGAAGACGCTTCGCCGGAAACAGACGGCGCGATTGTTAATTTGCCACCTGTCGCCAGTGTAGAGCCTGAAGCGAACTGTGATAGCAACAGTGATGATACTTTGTCAAAGCCTCAGTCGGCGGGTGTAGGGAGTGGTGCGGGTACTCCGGGCATTTCGGCCGAATGTCCGGAAGTCAAATCGCCTCCATCCTGTCCTGATCCAGTGCCTTCCCCGGATACAGTTTCAATAGGCCTAGAGAGGGACTCGGTAGCGGATAGGGATGCGATGATAAGCGCTTGTGAACCAGACACAGTTACAACACATTCTAGGGTCAGCCCTGATTGCAGCCCAGAGGAGGTCGGAGCAGCTTCTTCGCCTCTGGCAGGCACTGCCGTTTCTTCCTCAAGGCAGCCACACTCGGATGTGGTAGTTACGGAAGATTATTTCCATGGTCCTGAAATTCATGACCTTCACGTGTTTAAACTCGATGTAGCAAATGGTTCCAAAACAACAGACGTCCCGCAACGCTCAGATGAAGTATCTGATGGAATCGCGTCACATTCAGAAACACTACCGGATGCAACTGGAAGTAAGTCGGTTGTAGACGGAGCAAATGATGCTGTGACATCTTCACATGTTGATGAGGGTTCACTATCGGCCAGTTGCGCTGATGTTGAGGAAGTATCGGAAACTGCGACACAGGACGACGGAAGTTCCAAAGTATCGGAAACTGCGACACAGGACGACGGAAGTTCAAAGGTATCGGAAACTGCGAGACAGGACGACGAAAGTTCAAAGGTATCGGAAACTGCGAGACAGGACGACGAAAGTTCAAAAGTATCGGAAACTGCGAGACAGGACGACGAAAGTTCAAAAGTATCGGAAACTGCGAGACAGGACGACGGAAGTTCCAAAGTATCGGAAACTGCGACACAGGACGACGGAAGTTCAAAGGTATCGGAAACTGCGAGACAGGACGACGAAAGTTCAAAAGTATCGGAAACTGCGAGACAGGACGTCGAAAGCTCAAAAGTATCGGAAACTGCGAGACAGGACGACGAAAGTTCCAAAGTATCGGAAACTGCGACACAGGACGACGAAAGTTCCAAAGTATCGGAAACTGCGACACAGGGCGACGAAAGTTCCAAAGTATCGGAAACTGCGAGACAGGACGACGAAAGTTCAAAAGTATCGGAAACTGCGACACAGGACGACGAAAGTTCAAAAGTATCGGAAACTGCGACACATGATGACGAAAGTTCAAAAGTATCGGAAACTGCGATACAGGACGACGAAAGTTCAAGATCGAAACAGATCGAACTAGTAGGCGATGGGCAACTGGAAGACAAAGCGTCTGAAGGCGATAACATGATCGATTCATGTCGTCACACAGCATCAGTGCAGGAGGAAAACCAACATGACGCAGGACAGCCACTCTTGGGCGTTGGAGACACCTGTATGTCAAATACCAGAGAGGACGTAAAGAGCTCAGATTCAGACAAAGAGGTGGATGGCTTTGGAGGGGACGTGGTCGAAAATCAGGACCGTTCACATGGTAGTCCAGGTCCGCCGGAGGATCCACCAGAAGATCTCTGGCGAATTACAGACGTGAGAACGGTTTCAGATGAAGAGCAGGTGGCGAGCTTAAAATCAAAAAAGCTTTCGGAGGGGGATGCTGAGGAGTTCCACCAGGGCGATGAGTGGACACGGACTTCTGATGATGCAGATCAAGGAGAAATTCCGCAAACCGCTGAAGCCATCTTGAGCGATGGTCACGCTTATGATGAGCCGTCTATTGAATGCAAGGCTGAACCCGAGATCCTTGTGCATGCTTCAATCAAAGAACCATCCCGTTCCTCCGAGAAAAGTGAATACCTGGTTGATGGCGTTCCGGTTGTTCTTCGAAATTTGTCGGTAAGAGTGCAGAAGCTCAGTCTGAGTAACCACCAAAGGACTTCAAACAACTCAGGTCAGGAGGGACGTGATCGGAAGAAAGTGCATATTCGTGCTCCAAGACGAAAATCGACATGCTCCAGCCCAAGATCGGGTTCTGAAGAACTTGAACAGAAGAAGAGAAATAAAGCAAACAAGAAGAAACAACGGCTAAAGGAGATCGAAGAAAGACTTCATGATCATGACAGGGTAGAAAGGTCAGGGAGTGAAGAGTCCTTCGCTGGCTTTTCAAGAAGCGTCGTGTTTGGGAAACCTGGATCTGACTCGTACCAGATTCCCAAAAAGGTCCAGGAAAAGGTTGATCTTCTGACGGCTGGCGGCTGCAACTCCGATTGGTTAGATCATCTTGATGAAGTGTTGGATGAGGTGGTGAAAGGAGATGTCATCCACGCCCCGTCTTTCGAAGAGCATGAGCTCAATGAGCCGGGAATTTTAGATCGCAAACAAAAAGCCGGACAGAGTCGGAGACGTAGAAAGAGCTCATCGAGGTCAGAACATCGCGCATCGGCTTCCTTGAATCTACCTCTCAGTATGCGGCCGATGCTGTGCCTACCAAGGCTGACAGAATCCGAGATACGTTCATATCAAAGGCCGACGATTAAAAGCACTCATTCTCAGTCCAGCGCCACTGAAGAGGATGCTTTGGCCGCATCGACTGAGTACGTGCGCCCAACTCCCAAGAGTCGTCGAAGGCGGGACTCCGCAAAAGAAGCGCGGAAATCCCCCAAGAAAGGTGAACACGTACGAAGGAGTCGGTCACGGGAAACCCAGGATGTGCCTTCAGAGGATGCGAAGACTTCTGCTGGTGAAGATGGAGGCACTCCAAAGGCTGTGCTGCCGTCGCCCATAAAGAGTCCCCATTCAACGGAAATTTTGAAGTCATTAAGCAAAAGCAACAAGATTGAGAGCCTGGATGCCGAGCTCGTCGCCCAAGAGCTCGACTTCCTAGAGTCGGCGGATAGCTCTGGTACCAAAAAGAACGACGCCGCAAAAGAAGCGTGGGACAGCGCACAGAAGGGGTTTGCTGACATTTCATCCGATGACGGAGACCACGGTTTTGATGCCGCTGGGCTGATTGATATTCTGGAAGGTGACGATGCCAGTCCCGCAGGAGGCTCTGATCCATCCAGCCCGTGTGCCAGCCCGCCGCACATGTCCGGAGGGAGCGCAACGGGGCTGGATGTCGGCTCGCCAGGCAACACTGCATCGAGCGTCTCAAGAGATGGTGACGCGGGCCCTATGTCTCCAGACGTCCCAGTCAAAGAGGATTCCCTTCCATCGCTCGCAGTGGATGTCAATCCAGTCGCACCTTGCGCCTCGTCTACACTTCCGCAGGCGGCTGATGACGGTCCAGCGCCGAGTGATGATGCTCTACCCTCGGCTAAACCAAGTGATGAACAAACTCCTCTGAAAGTTGAGGGAGGTGACCAGGACGCGCCGAAGAAAACCTACAGCATTTTCGTTGTTCATGAGGATGCCCTGCCATCTATCGCCAGCTCGCTCACGGAAGATATTGGTCCGTTGCTGGCACAGGGAGCTGACAGTGGGATAACAGATCAGCCAGTTGAGAGCTCGGTAATCGAGCCGTCGCCAGCGGATGCACAGCCGGCGCACCCATCCGAAGCTCAGGTAGGCTCTACTGAAGTGCCAGCTACTGCTCAGGCGCCTCGTGAGACTGTGAAAGAGGAAGCCAGGGAGGTGAAGACGTATGGTGGCTTTGTCGAATCTAGAGCCGACAAGAAAATCCGCAGGAAGTTTCGCGTAAAGCGATGCGTGGTGAGGCTGCGAGATGTCAAGTTCTCCAAAAGTCATCGAAGGCTCTACAAGAAAGCCAAAAGATATCTAACGAGGCAGCTTTCAGACAAGCTGAAACAAGCGCCATCTGGCTCGAGCATCTCCGCCGATTCGACTCAGGCTGTCAAGCGTGACGAAGAACTAGCGAAAAAGGAGACGAGCCAAGCCGTCGCGGAAGAAAATCGCAAGGGTCCAGGGTCAAGCCAAAGCGCCGACTCGACATCAGATGCGAAAAAGCCAAGTCAGATCACCGAACGAAGCGACAGCGCTGCAAGTGGCTCCAGTGCCTCAAAGAAGACATCCAAGGATCAAAGGTGCGTATCTTCGAATTAATTCTTATTGATCGGTAAAATTGTGCCGCTTGCAATCACTAATGTAAAGTAACTTGTGAAGGTGTTATGTCAATCAACCCGTTCTCCCAGTTAACCGGTTTATTTAAAATGAGGAGTACATTCCCAAATATTCTTGAAAGTTATGTACTGTTGTTATTGTAGCTCTCGATTTAACCATTCCCTGTTCTGTGAGAGTTTGCTTTTATTCTTTGAGTGGTGATTTTAAAAGCATAAATGTGGGGTAGGGGTACGACATGAAGTTCACTGGTACTAAAAGATTTGTTTCTTTTGCTGCAGAATCCCGAAGAAGTCTGACGGGAAGACTTCGCGGCACAATCGGGTAGACCCGTTCTCAAGTGCGCTGAAGAGCAAAGCACCTCCGCCTCGTCTGACGAGTAAGCATCCAAGATACGAGAACACTTCCAGTTCACGTCCCTATGAAACTCCAGAAGAGAAGGAAAGACGTAAGCGGCAAAAGCTGCAGAACATTGAGCAAAAGTTGCGCGATTCGTCTGCAGTAGCTCAGGGCTCATCGCTTCTTGATACTCTGCTCACGACACCGAAGCTAGCTCAACCAAAAACGAAGCCGGATAAGGAGGAGCACAAGGCTAAACCACCGCTCATCGAAAGCAAGCCTTCGACCGAACGTAAACCCGTTCAGGAGGCGAAACCTTCTCTCTACCGAGCAAGTGGCTGGGTTCAAAGCGAAGCTGCTAAAATGGCATTTGGTGGCGCACCGAACAAGCACAGTTCCAATGTCTCTAGACCAGCTGCGCACCCCGGCGAGCCACTGCATGGAAGCACAGGCCCCCACAAGGCGCCACACCGTCCCGAGAAGCACACGGTGACGGCTAGAACGAGACCTCGGAAGACGAGGTGGGAGCCCGCCTCGCCGGAGGCTGGTGCCACGGAAGCGAGCCGGCTACCGGCACTGCCCGAGTGGGTGTCACGGATAAATAGTGGTCGAATCGGTCCCAGAACTCCGCCTCTGCCTGCTTCGTTCGAATCCTCCGCCCCTCGATCCACCTCTCGCTGCTCAGACGGGGAAAGAGCCACTTCTGTTTACAGCGACAATCATAGATCCTCGCCGGTTCACGGTGACTACCATCACAACAAATCCCCAGTGGGTTCCTTCGGCGAACACGAGGGTCAGTCAGAGCATGCACGCAAGGACAGGGCCCCGTCAACAGGAGGTAGTCACCATGGGCGCGAATTCGGAGATAGAATGGCAGATGATCGGCGGGCAGAGTCGCTCGGTCAAGGACGTGTCGCGTCTCCGGCAGACGGAGTCTGGAGAAAGCGACAACGGTCCGTGGATGGAGACCGTGAGGAAGCTGCACGGGACCGGACTCGTAGGAAAATGTCTCCCCACGAGATGACGCCAGACGCCTCTCGGATGGATGCAGAGACGTTGAAAAACAACGAAACGGGAGGTGTTTATGGAGATGCTCGAAACACTCCTCCAGGGGAGCCTCCAGGCGAGCCTCCAGACGAGCCTCCAGACGATCTTCCGGGTGATCCCGGCTGGGACGAGAGTGAGGAAGAAGTCAACGAAGAAGACGCGCCTTATTCTCCTAGCAACTCACCAATCCTGCTTTGTGATCTCAAGAACATCAAACCTCCCAAGAGGTCTCGTAAAGATGAAGGCAAAGAAAAGGACAGCGCTGCAGCGGAGAAGGAGAAGGAGAAGGAACCCGAGGCGCCCGTCCATCGCGAGGCCCCGAAGTCGCTCCTCAGCCTGCGTGCCTTAAAAGAAAAGGCGATGCTGTTGAGCAAAACTCAAGTGCATCCGGAAGCGGACGCCGTCGGACCGACCGAGGCACCAAAGAGTACAGTTGTAAACCCTGCCGATGTCCCTCAGGCTATTGGAGCGGTAGACGCATCTCCTTCTCCGTTTTCCTTGGCCGACTACCTGACTGGGGAGGTTCAAAGGGCGCATGAAAGGTATACCTCCCAAGCTCCCCCTGCAACCGCTGGGTCTAGCAATCAGAGTTCTGCTCCCAAAAAGTCCTCTCTTGGCCTGTTGGCTTCACTGAAAGGCAAGGCCCAGTGGCTGCTGAGCTCGGCGCCGCCGGTCGTGCCGGCGCCCCCGGCGCCCCCGGCACCTCCGTGCCTCTCCGCGCCAGTGGACCGAGATGACATCTACTCGTTCGGCGGCGCGCCGGCGCCCGAGCGCGAGCGCGAGCCCGAGCTCGATGGAGACGGCGGAGCCGGCCCGGCGCCGGCCGAGTGGCCCTCCGATCCGACGGGCCACCTGTCTGAGGCCGAGCTGAGCGAGCTGACACTGGTAAGCCTAGCGTGTATGTTCTCAGGTATCATGGTGCAAGTTACCGAGGCCGTGTCCCGCTGTGAATACCGGTGCCCCGGCTGTACTCCGTACCACGACCACCTCCGACTGAGGCTGTGTAGGCGTGCCCGCACTAGAGCGGCCCAAGACTGTTAGCCGTGTGTGGCTGGCGATCTCGGCGAGTGCTGATCGATGGCCGTGTGGCTGATGGTGCTCGTGTGTGGGGGGCAGCTGGGGTTCGCTACTCGACAGCCGGTGTTTGTTCTCGCTGGCGCGCCGCGCGCCTCTTTCGGTTTACGGTTTTAACCGTTTTGAAATATTTTTCAGAACAAAAATGCATCCGAAAGTATCGAGCAAAACATTACTCTGGTGAGTGTAGCTTGCACCATGATACTTAGCTAGGATTAAGTTTGTCGTTTTGTCTCTGTGTTTGTGCTTGTGTCTGTTGATGTTCTAGTCAAAATTCGATGCCAGACTTTAAAGGTGCAAGTCAGTTTCACTTCAAAATTGTGTCACTTTTATTTCGATCGAAAATCAATTGCAGTATTTTTAGTAACTAATTTACATATCTCTTTTTCGCAATGACTAAGTGGGTTATTGTTTTTTTTTATTACTCAAACGTTTCTAATAACTTTGGCTCCTCTCGTGCATGTTAACGTTCACCTGGGGTGGGAGGGGGGGGGGGGGGGAGGTGAATGGGGTTGGCCACACTCACCAGTTTTTGCTGTATAAAGCAAACCTCGGAAGATTGGTATAGTTAAGCATACATCAATCTTGCATCGTTTGTGAAATTTTTGATCCCAGGTCAGCTAAGGTTAGGTCACCAGGTCAAGTGATGTAACCATGGCTCTAAAAAAAGAAAACTTTGCGATCAAATGTCATCTAAATGCTTGATACTCGGGGTATTGCACGAGGGTATGAGTACTAACTATTCTATATCTCGTAATACTCATATGCAAAAACTTTTCGACGCGTCTGAGCACGGCAAACACGATGATGCCGAAATCGCGGCTCTGCGATCATTTTTGGCGATGGTATTTACCCAAAGCAAAATGCATACCATTGGGCTTTTGACCTGACCTCAGAGGTCTCTGCGTGACCTGACACTTGTAAGGGTACCAATCGCTGCGTCTTGTAACGGCGCTCACGTTCGCTTTTTTCCGCGAGACTAGCTCAATTAGGGGTGAACCGGCGAGGGCCGGGGTTCGTACCCCCCCCCCCATCGGCCGGGGCGTATGCAGAAAACCATTGGGTCTGGCGAGGTTAAATTCGGTTTCGAATTTCCTTTTCGCTGCAAAAATGTTATTTTGCAATAACTGTACAAGTATGGTCGTAATTTGCTTGCAAATTATATACGAGTAAGAGTATAGCTTCAATCTGTGCTTCAATCATTATCTTCTCAATGCTTCTCTGAGAGATATGTGAATAAGTTTGTATCTAAATTTCTAACAGATGATAGGCGTGTTTCAGTAAGTTTGCCCGCGCCCAGGTGGGATCCCAGCCGGCTTCGCCGTGGTGATGGAGAGCTTCCCAATGTCTTAAAACAGTAGTAAGAAAGTTACTTTCAAAAGTGCTTTGGTAATTTTTTATCAGGTCAATGCTAAGGTCATCAAATAACCTTTTTTCGAGTCTCGACATTCTTGGACGAATTGGCGCATAACATGTAACAGGGCTACAGCGTCACGAAAAAGCGGCGTCGATAGCTTTGTCAGTCTTTTCTTACCATCGAAAGCCTTTTGACCATAAGAAAGAAAGAAAGAAAGAAACAATAAGAAAGTCTCTTCACTTTTATGTGTTCTTTAATTTAATTTGAAAGGTTTCTCTTCAAAAAGGCAATAACCGTCAAAATTGTCATGCTTATTCAAAAACTTGTATAAAAACGTATGACAACATGTTTCTTTTTACCAACATCACATTTCACACGCCATGGCCCTTTGTATAAGTTGTAATTTGATCATTAACCTTCGCCCAGGTGGCGGGAGGCGTTTTCGGCCTCATCTGCCAGTTTTTGCGAATGTAAAGAAAACCGCTTCGCGCCGCGCCGCGAAACTTTGTATAGCTTATGATACATCAATTTCGCATCGTATGTAAAAAAATTACCCCAGGTCACATAAGGTCAGGTCACCAAGTTAAGTGACCGTGCCTAAAAAAACTGATATATCCCAGAAGTTTGAAACTTGGGCTATTGCACGAGGGAATCAGTACCAACAATTTGTGTATCTCTGAATTTTGATATCGGTGACCTAAGGTGAGATCAGTTTTGTGACCTCCCCATTATAAGTCAATGGGGAAATAGTGAAATGCTCTTCTTTTGGCCGAAAACACCCTCAAACATCGGGACACATGTGAGGAAAATTGCAAATGTGACTCCTTTTATGCCCATGAGGTCACTCAGGTCATGAAACGTGACCAACAGTTTTTTTAATTTCTATAATAACTCTGGATAGAAGCATGCTAGAGCGCTGAAAGCGCCATGAATGTGTTCAGCTCAACAATACGAATCAAATGTCATGCAACATGACTTCCGTGACCTTGACCTAAGGTCAAATTTTCGGGTTGACCTTTTCAGGTCAACATTCGACGCATCTCGACGAGACGATTGCGGTGCTTGTAAAATTGGGGTAATACAAGCTTGGAGTCAAAAGTTATACAGAAACCTTTTCCGCCAAAACGTCAAATTTTGAGTTTTTGCCCTCTGGAGGCTAAACCGTTGACCATAGGTCAAATCTGAGATCAACAATTAGAAAGACCTATGGAAGAGCTATTGAATACGCTTTTCTACAGCGCTGTAGCTCTATTGGTTTCCGACTTATGCGCCGATTGTTGAAAAATTGTCAGGACCTTGATAAAATGGTGAAAATATTTCCTTTGGTGGCCTGAGGCCTCTAATGACCTCAGCGATGACCTGATCAACAAATGGCCTGTATGACTATGAAAGATCTTATAGTTAACTACTTATTGCTTTTTACCGCGTTTTTTTTTAGCTTGCTTACTTTCTGAGATAACTTGGTGTGGTTAAAAGCCCTTCCCCTTCCCCCATGGCGAAATTAGCTGAGAGGCCCACCCGGGCGCGCGTTAAAGGTCATTTGAAAACAATGACTTGACTGCATATCAGTCTATCTCAACACCTATGGGGTGTCAACTGACCATCAGCTCGTCCCGCTCATTGCATATAAGTGTGTCGTGTTTCTCAAAACATGTGTGATTTGGCATGTGTGTTCAAAACAAGAGACTTTTACACTTTTACACCAACTGACAGTGGTGAGTTCATGAAGCTGACCTGACCGCAGGTGGCAGAAATAAAAAACCCTATATTTATGAATTGGTGGCACTGGTACTCATGCAATCTTCACAATTTTGAACTTTTTGAAGCAAGATATGGGAATGACACGATCGCAAAGTTCTAGAGGCGAATGTGGCCCAGAGGATCCTTTCCCATTAATAGATGCCCCCGTAAAATGTACTCCTTATTTATTGTTCATCTACAGATCAATGGGTGTGCGCCTATTAGTCCCCCCGCTGAGATGTGTGTTTGTTTGGCGATGACCGCCGCGCACTATGGCCTGTATCTCGGGTTTGTGTGCATTACGCTGACGCTCGTGACCGGTGCCTGCGCACAGGGGAAGGCGTTCAACGATGAGCGTCTGGACCTCAACATCACGCTGGACGGCGTGCTCACCAGCGCCTTCTTCCTCATCTCCATCGACCCGCTGCGCATCAAGTAGGTGGCCCTTGCGCGCGGTAGCTTCCCGGTCGGCCGCCGGAGCTCTCTGCCCGCGTAAATCCCTCCACTGGCCATGGCTTACAACCCCGAAAATTCTCTCTTAAAAATGATGGCTATTGGCCCGCTGTGTCTTTCCCTCGATGTCCTTGAATCAGCTAGAAAAGTTTTACGTTTGTCCGATGCTCCTTCTTTCATCATTCGTTATAGAAATATGCCTGTCCAGTGTTCAGTCTCAACATAGCAGACACTACAGTAGCAATGGTTGGCAACATGGCGATCTTATTCGACAACCTTTTTTGACTGTCGATATTTGTCTTAAGAAGTCTCGATATAGACTTAACACGCGCAGTGGAAGGGGGGGGGGGGCGGATTTCGCCCACCCCTCCTGTTTTTCGCCAATAACTCACGCCGCAAACATAATATTAATGTGAAATTTCGGCTACCTGTCCAGAATTGAATTGCGGATCTTCTCGTGCAAGAAATAAGAAAATCGGTTCACAACTTTTCTAGTAATAGCGGTGTAAAGTCAAACATCCTGCCGCCGCGGCGGCGCGGCGGCGCGGCGGCCGGCGCTAGCCGTTACGCGCCGCCTGAATTGTAGACTGTGCCGGGGCGGGACAGTTCCGTCTTTACATCGCGCTCCTTACCGCTGATTACATTAGATTCGCGTCAAATTCGGTGAGAAGACTGAGAAATGTACAGGCAATCATATGGTCAAAGAATTTTGAAAATCGGCCGGTAACAACTTGAGTTATGAGTGTGTAAACACAAAATTGTGATTGCCGCGTTTCCCGCGTCGGCCGATCCCGCTTCAGCCGGCGACATCTTACCCTTAGCAGGCTTCTAACTGCCATATTTATCGTTGGATTATCTAGAAATTCACCATACATACACACAAATGTTTGTTCTTTCGTATAGTGAAAGAAAAAAGAAAATCGGCCGGTAACTTTTTGAGTTATCGGCGTGTAAACGCAAAAAAGTCGCTCATATGGCAGATTTGACCATATTTGACCTCATTTGACCTTGAAGATATTGACCTAGGGTCATGAAATTCACACACAACAGAGTTCCCCATGGCCCCCACCTACCCTCCAAATTTCGTCTTTCTAGCTCCAGTGGGAGCTGAGATCTTAGGGGGGGGGGCGACATCCGCCCCCCCCCTTCCACTGGGCGTAGTACTCGCAACCCTTCCACTGCGCGTGTTAATGTTTGAAATATTTACCTTGAATAATGTACTTATCGTTTTTGTCACCACATCGGACTTCCATCTGTTTGAGAAAAGTGTTCAGTAATCCGTATGTTGACCGAAGCCATGGCCATTGACTGCGCTCGGTAGGGTGGTGGCGCTACATGTGCGCTCTGTAGAGACGCCGCGTCTAGCCCCCTGTCCTCCCCGTGGAGCCGCCGCGTCTGACCCATCGCCCTCCCCCGTCCCGCGCAGGTGCAATGTGTGCGGCGTCTCGCTGCAGGGCTTCGATACGTACAAGTCGCACGTCGACTCGCCCGAACACCAGAAGAAATGGCAGTTCGCGCTGGACAACCCCAATCACAGTGAGTGGGCGCCGGCCGCCTCCTCCTGCTCGCCATGGCAGCGGGGGATCGCTGATGTTTGGCCGTGTACGTTCATTTTCGTAGCGGCTCATAAGTCAGTGATTTTGAGCTGTTGGCTGGCTGACTGACAAGGGTGAAAAGTAATCTGTGGAAACGTGTTCGTGTTGGTTCGCTTCGAGCTGTTCTGATAACCGTTGTCTGTGTTCATTTCAGAGCCGAATTTCATGCCCAAGGCTGGGTTCAAGGAGCCGGTGAACCGGTTCCTGTACCTGCTCAAGAGGTCGCTCAATGAGCAGCTGCAGATGATGGGCCCCGGGTTCCGGCCGCAGCTGCCGACCGTGGCTAACCCACGCGTGCTGGCGCCGCTGGTGATGCGCGGCCCGCGGCCGCCGTTCGGCTGGCGCGGCCCGGCGCCGCCGCCGGGCGCCTGGCGCGGACCCCGGCCCGGCATGCCCTTTCCGCCCGGATTCCGCGGACCCCGTCCAGGCGGGCCGTTTTTTCGCGGGCCCCGGCCCAATATGATGAGGCCGGGGCTTAACATGGAAAATAACGGCGAAGACTGGGGAGACGGCTCTGAGGAGTGGACCGGCGAGGAGGGCGAGGGCGAGGAGTACGCCGGAGAGGAGCAGGAGGCCGGCGCCGAGGGCGAGGAGCAGCAGGAGGGCGCCGACGCGCCGCCGGGCGAGGAGCCGCCGGTGCCGGGTGCGTCCGGGCCCGGGCCCGGACCCGGACAGATGGCGGCGCCCTGGGCACCCGGACCCGGCGGCCCGAGGCCCTTCATGGCGCCCGGAGGACCAAGGCCTGGAGGACCGATGGCGGGAGGCCCGAGGCCTGGAGGCCCCATGGCGGGAGGTCCGAGGCCCGGAGGTCCGAGGCCTGGAGGACCAAGGTTCGGGATGCCAGGAGGTGTCAGACCGGGAGGGCCCAACCAAGCGCAAGGCCAACAGATGGGCATGCAAGGCCAACAGACGGGGATGCCAGGACAACAAATGGGCATGCAAGGACAACAAATGGGGATGCCAGGACAGCAAATGGGCATGCAAGGACAACAAATGGGCATGTCAGGACAACAAATGGGGATGCCAGGACAACAGATGGGCATGCAAGGACAACAAATGGGCATGCAGGGACAACAGATGGGCATGCAAGGACAACAAATGGGTATGCCAGGGCAACAAACGGATATGCAAGGGCAAGTGCAGGGCCAACAAGAGGGAGGCGAGGAGATGGCTGAGGAGAAGGAGCAAACCTTCATCGACGGCTACCCGACGCTGGCGCTCGTGGGTGAGTCGGGTGGGCAGCAACGCTGCCGTGCGGCCTGCGGGGGTATTCCATCGGCCTGCGTAGTGATGTCTAGGATTAGGGAATCATTGGGAAAGAAGGGATGGAGAATAAGGCGCGGTTAATTCAACAGCGATCCGGTACCTTCGTGTGTCATTCACGAAAAGTGAAATGCAAATGCTGTTTTGAATTGTTTTGTAAAATAATTTCTGAGTGTAACGTATGCGATGGAAGCATTTCCAGGTGGCTAGAGTCCAGATATTGTCGGATAAGGGTATTGCAGATGTGTCAGACGAGCGTCTCTCAGCGACCACGGTCAGTGTGTCGTGTATCGTCACCCACCCCCTCGCTTTCTGCAGGGACCGAGTTCATGATGCTGGTGGAGGGCGATGAGAGCGGCGCCGACTTTTACGTCTGCCTGATGTGCGTGCGCCGGATGGGCTCAAAGGCGATGGCCATCGCTCACCTGCAGGCGCCGTTCCACCGCACCATGTACCTGGTACGTGTGCGCCGTGGGAGAGGCCGGGTAGAACGATAAGAGAAAAGACTGCTATGCTCACTCCGATATCCTGTACATGTTCGTTGTATGTCTGTAGGTTTTTGTGCTGTCTGTTATGAATAATTTTGTCTTCGCCTTCTGGGGCCTATCGGCCGTCTGCCTGCGTGCTCCGCCGCGCCGTGTCGCCTAACTCCCTCCCCTGCCCCGTCCGTCCCCAGGAGCGCTACTTCCCGCGCGCGTTCAAGCGTCTGGGCGAGGGCCTGACGAGCAGCGACAAGCCGTGGACGGCGGCCACGTTCCAGCAGCTGAGCGTCATCTGCACGCGCATCCAGGAGCGGTTCGGCCGGCTAGCGCCCGGCATGATTTCTGAGAGCAGGTTCAACATGGAGGCGCTCAAACTGAAGAGCATTATCGACGAAAACCAGCACTTCTCGTGAGTACCGCGCACGGGGCCGCTGCCGGCGGCGGCGGACTGGGAAGGTGTGCGGGCTGATGACTTCGTACGACTGTTACCCATGACCCGTCTCACCTCCGCTGCGTCCCGGTAGGCGGTAGCTAACGTGATTCTCCCACTGCCTCCAACCTCCTGTGTTATGGTGTAGCCGGTGTACCCTTCATTTCCACACTCGTCCCACACACTCGTTTTGGCCTCTGCCGCGCCGGCCCCAGCCGCTGAGTGATTCCCCCACTGCCTCCAGAGAGCCGATGGACATGACGTACTTCGACCTGCCGTTCCCGTTCGCCGGCAAGCCACTGACGCCGGAGGAGATGCCGAAACTGAACGTGGGCACGGTCATCAACCTGACGCCCGTCGGACAGAAGCCTGGTGAGCCCGGCACAGGACGAGGTGGCCGTCATACGACTCCGGGGGATGGGGCCGTCAGACTGTCTGGATGTTAAGGGAGAACATGTCAAGCATTTACAATCAAATACGCAGGTTTAAGTGGGACATGACTCGGTACCTACCTCTTGTATTCGTACACTTTGCAAAGGAACACTTTACAAGGAATCCAAAGGAACAATTTTTTTGCTGTCATGCTTAGTTTGCTATGCCGTTATGTTGTATATATTTGGTGTTATGCCTGTCGTTGCTGTTTTTCACCTGTTGGTTTGTTTATGGTAGTTGATCCTGATCGGGCTCTGACTGCAGACCTGACCCGCCCACCCCGCTGACGGGGTGTCGGTGTTTACAGAGGAGGTGGCCAAATTGCCGGCTTTTCTCGTCAATCAGCAGCAGCCGGGGAGCGGGGCGGCGCCGGCCGCCTACCCGCCGCCCGGCATGCCACCAAACAGCATGCAGCCCCCGGGCGCCTACCCGACTCCGGAGATGCAGGCGGCGGCCGGCTACCCGCCGCCGGGTATGATGCCTCCGGGTATGATGCCTCCGGGTATGGCGCCGCCGGGTATGGCGCCGCCGGTGAGCTCGTACCAGGCGCCGGGGATGTACCCGCCGGCCGGCTATCCTCCGGCCAGTATGGCGCCGCCGGGCGTCTTTCAGCCGCCCGGCATGCCGCCCAGCTCGATGGGTATGCCGCCTCCAGGCTACGAGCCGCCGCCGGGCTACGAGCCGCCGCCGGGCCTGTCGCAGCCGCCGCCCCAGATGTGGCCCACGCCGCCGCCGGCTGTGGCTCCGCAGCCGGCCGGCGCGCCGGCGCAGCAGGACGACATGGACATCGAGCTGCCCATGTCTGACGCCGACCGAACAGAGGATGAGGCGGAGAAGACGCGCGCCATCGTCCAGTCCGAGATCAAACGGTGAGGGTCCGGCCGCGCTGCGGGTGGCGGGCGCGCGGTGGGGATCGGCCCTGCAGGCTTCATCTTTTTTTTTTGCATAATAATTTTTTGCATACCCGTCATATTTAATTGTTAAGAGTGGAAATATATGCTCGTCTCCGGCGACTCGTTAATAATATGTCGATCAAATAGGATATTATGTGTTGTGGTGTCTAAGTGATGATTTCATTGTTAGATGCGAGATTCGCTAGGGTGGCTGGTGGCTGAGCGTAGCAGGCGAGCCAGGTAGGCTGGAGTGGGGGAAGCTGCGTCACTGTCCCTTGGCCCTGCGGTTCCCCTACTCCGTCTGTCGGTCTGCGCGACCCCGGACCATGAGCACCCACCTGTCCGCCCCGTGCGACACGTCACCCTGACCGGTGCCGTGTCGGCCCGCAGGTGGAAGGAATCCATGCTGAAAAGTGAGGCCAAGGCGGTCGTCAAGGAAGGGTAAGGCGGCGTGTTTGCTGCAGCGAATGCTGATGGCCGGGATCGTAAACCGATCGTTGTTAGCAAACATTTCCTAAACTTCTTGTTGTGAATCTTGTCGACATTTTTATCTCATCTCGTTTGCGATGTTTGCTGTCTTGACTTGCGACAATTTGGTGATGTTATGTTCTGGTCCTTTTGGCTCTATGTTCCTGATCAGTGTTGTCCTCTGCCCGCAGTCCCAGCGATCCGATAGAGGCCAAATACTACCAGGCTGCTAAACGGAAGGCAAAAGAAATTGAAAAACAGGACGACGACACTGAGGCCGAAAAGGAGTCCAAACCGGCCACAGCTAAGAAGGGAAAGGATCCGAACAAAAAGGAGATAAAGATCAACATCACTACATCCAAAGAAAAGCTGAAAGAAACAAAGCCAGAACGAAGCGAAAAGAAATCTGAGCCGACTGCTTCGAAGAAAACAGAGTCGAAGTCTGCAAAGAAGTCAGAAAACGCGAAGAAAGACAGGTCCAAAACTGGTGAGCAAATGTTTTGTTCTGCTTGCAACATCGGACTTTGTTATCGGGAGCAAAAGACACTTGGTGACTGAGCTAATATTTAGTGTTAATTCTTAAATAACGTGCAGCGCTGTAACAGAATGAAAGTTGTAATGTAACTAAAGAAATACACACTGTTAAAACAGACTTGCTCTTTAGTGCTTCATTGCCACTGTCCTTGCATTTTGCGATAAATCAATTTATTCGCTTTTGGGTGCGCATGCCCACGCATTTGACAGTCGGCTGTAAGGGTAGTCGCTGAGACACCTGCACTGCCGCGATTACTGTGTGGGGATCGTTTTGACGCTGTTTGTCCAGTGGCGCGGTGCCTGTATCCCCTGTCTGACCGTCGCTCTTTGCTCCTCGGCAGACACCAAGTCGGCGAAGGACGACGGCGCCGGTATGGAGGCGGTGAGCTCGGACGAGGATGAGTCGCTCTACAAGGTCAAGGACGCCGACAAGTCGTCCGCCGCCCGGTCCAAGTCGACGACCACCTTCAGTCGCGGACCGGCCCATCCCAGCTATAATCCGCGCCGGCCGTTCCGCCCGTCGCCGCCGCCGCGGCCGAGATATCACTACGACCGGCGCGGCCGGCGCCGCTCGTGGTCCCGCTCCCGCTCGCGGTCCAGATCGCGGTCGCGGTCCCGGTCCCGGTCGCGCTCCCCGTACCGGAGCTGGCGCGGCCGCTCGCCGCCGCCGCCGCCGCGCGATCGATCCCGCGGTCGCTCGCCGCCGCCGCGTGACCGCCTGTCCCGCGACCGGTCGTCGCGCGGCCGGTCCGGCGCAGCCTCCGAGCTGCAGGAGCGGCGCCGCAAGTTCGAGCGGCTGGAGAAGATGATGCTCGACCGGCTGGCCACCAAGAAGGCCGTGTTTGACCGACGTCCCGAGGACCATCCGGACTACGCCAACGAGTGGAAAAAGTTCTGGGAGCGCCGTTACAAGGAGGTGCAGCGCGAGGGCAAGAACCCGGACACATATGAGTACACGCCCGAGTGGAAGAGCGCCTGGGAGGACTACGTGGACGAGCTGTTTGTGCGCGAGCGGCACGACAAGCGCACTGAGCTGCTGCAGCAGTACGAGCTGGTGGAGGACGAGGAAGGGCACCTGGTGGACGCCAACGCTCCGCGGCGCGCCGACAGCCCCTGGGAGTCGGGCCGGAGCCGCGGCCGCTCGGCGTCCACCGACCCGGACCGCCGGCCGCTGCCGTGCAACCCGTCCCCGCCGCCCGGCAGCGGCGGCCTCCACCGGCCCGACACGGGCCTCTCCACGCTGTCGGTGGGCTCGGCCGGTGAGGCGGCGCGCGGCGCGCCCGCCCGACCGGCCGCCGTCGACCTGCCCGGCGTGCTGCGCGTGCTGACCGCCCTGGAGGACCAGCTGGGCTCGTTCGCCAGTCCGACCAACCTGCTGCTCTCGCAGGCGGTGGCCGCCGAGCGGGTCAAGGCCGGCAGCTCGGCGCAGCTACTGGCCGTCACCGAGCACGTCCTGCTGCTCGACACACTCAAGGAGAAACTCAAGGGCCAGATCGCAGCCGGGATCCTGCCGGCAGCCAACGTGAACGCTTCTCGGCTGGCCATCGACCAGATCGCCATGCTACTACAGAACGTGCCGGCGCATGTGTTCGAGCCGCCACTGAGTAACCAGCAGCTGGCCGACCGCGTGGCCAGCTCAGTCTCCAGCAACGACCCGATGGTGATCTCGCAGCAGATCGCCGTCACGCTGACCAGCCTCGGACGGACCAACGTCTCCGAGACGGACCTCAACGAGATCCTCATCAAGGTGATGATCGCCAAGAACCTGCTGCCGGCGGCGGCGGCGGAGGCGGCTGCCCCGGCGCCGGCGCCGGCGGCGGCCGGGGTAGCGGCGCCCGCCTCGACGGCCGCGCCGGTGTCTTCAGCGGCCCCGCCGGCGTCTGCCGCCGCCGTGCCGGCCTCTTCTGCCGTGGCGTCCGCGCCGGCCGCGTCCCTGCCGGCCAGGCCGTTCGTTAGCACGTTCGCCTCGTCTGCGTCCGCGATGCCGGCCCCGGTGGCGTCCACCATCACCACTCCGGCCACCCACCTCAAGCCGACCACGCGGCAGGCCGGCGGCCGCGGCCCGCCGCCGCCCGAGACGCCGCTCTTCAACGCTTACGCCGACGAGCGGCCCAGCCACGCGGCGCCGGTCAGCGGAGGCGCCGGACTGAGTATGCTCCAGTCGGCCTATGAGGATGACGACCACGACGGTCCGCCGAGCCCGACCCCGCCGGCCCGCGCCCCGGCGCGCAGTGAGTGGGAGCGGCCGGCGCCGCCGCCGCAGCCGCAGCCGCAGCCGCAGCCGCCCGCCCAGCCAGCGCGCGTCTCCCTGCCGCCGACACCGCTGGCGCGCGACCGCACCGAGCACCGCGAGCCGGTGACCAACCCGCCGGCTCCGGAGGCGGACGACGAGCTCAGCGCTGAGCAGATCCACGCGCTGCTCAACAACTTCGACACGCTGAGCCGGCCCGAGCAGGAGCAGCTGATGGAGTACCTCAAGAAGCTGGAGCGCGAGAAGAACGACAAGGTGGAGCAGCTGAAGGTGCTGCTGGCCCGCGACCCGATCAAGACGGGCGGGCAGAAGACGCAGGCGGGCGGCGGCGCGCCGAACGGCGGGACAGCGGCGGCGGAGCCGGTCCGCCAGCGCTCCGCCAGCTCGGAGAGCCGCCAGTCGGCCGCCTCGTCGTCCGCCGCCGGTTCGGTGACGGTCACCGGTACCACGACCACCACCACCACCACCACCGCGGCGGCTGCGGCGGCCGGCGCCACCACGGCCTCAGTGACGGCGGCGGCCACAGCGGCGGCAGCAGCCGCGGCCGGCGTCAAACCCGGACAGAACGTCGATATCAGCAAGCTGCTGTCCAAGGAGGCGATCGAGGCGGCGCTGCAGATTGCCAAGCAGCTGCGGAAGAGCGGCGCGCCCGGGCGGCCGGCGCCGGCGATGGACGCGCCGCTGCCCGCCAGTCACTTCCATGAGGTGCCCAATGTAGTGAGCAGCGTGGCCGTGGCGGCCTCGCTCTCCGAGTCTACCAGACCGCGGCCGGGCCGGCCGCACCAGGCCGGCGCCGGGGGCGGACCGCCGCTGCCCGCGAACCCGCCGCCGCCGCCGCCCGAGCAGCCGCCACCGCCGCCGCCCGAGCAGCCTCCGCCGCCGCCCGAGGAGCCCCCGCCACCGCCGCCACCGCCGGAACAGCCGCCGCCACTGCCCAGTGACGGCGCCAAGCCGCCCCTCCCGCCGGGTCCGCCGCCGCCGCCCCCTGAGGAGGCCAACGGCGTGCCGTACCACCAGCAGCAGGCGTACCTTCAGCAGCAGCAGCAGCAGCTGATGCAGCAGCAGCCGGGCCAGTACGGCTGGGGGCAGCCGGCCGGCCGCGGCCGCGGCGCCCCGTTCCACCATTACAACCAGTTCGGCGCTCCGCAGCAGGGCTACTACGACGACTCGTTCCAGCAGGGCTACGGCGGCCGGGGAGCGGCCTTCGGCGAGAAGAAACAGGAACAGGAGAGCTTCAACGATCAGGGAGTCGACTACGGCGGCGATATGGATGTAGACGACTACTCGGAGGAACAGGGAGACGAGCACGTGGAGCAGCAAGGAGAGGACTACACCCATCAGCAGGGGGAGGATTACACCCAGCAGCAGGGAGAAGACTATAACCAGCAACAGGAAGAGGACTATAACGAGTACCAGGGAGACGACTACGCCGAACAGGAGTACCCAGAAGAAGAGGAGTACCCAGAGGAGTATGACGAAGCGAACGATTATGAGAGCATGGCCAGCAAGTACATCGACGAGGAACCCGAGGACGACCCGTACGCCGACCCTGGCCCAGGGTTCCGAAACAGGGGAGGCTTCTCGGCCGGTCGAGGTGGGCCCAGAGGAGGGCCGGGTGGCGGACCCAGAGGAGGGCCGGGTGGCGCACCCAGAGGCGGGCCGGGTGGCGGACTATTAGCAGAGCCTAGGGATGGTCTCGGTGGCGCCGGTCGCGGTGGACCCCGGGGCGGGCCCGGCGGCGGCGCCCCCTCGCCGTGGGAGGCCGGCGGGCCGCCGTTCGGCAGGGGACGCGCCCGGGATCTGGGCCCGATGCTGCCGCCGATGTTGCCGCAGGGCGGCCCGGCCATGCGCGGCGGCAGGGGCCATAAGGGCGGCGGCGGTGGGCCGCCGTTCGGTCGCGGTGGCCGCGGCGGCCGCCGGCCCTGGCAGCGCTGGTGATCGAGAGCGACCTGTGTCCGTGCTGTGTGACGGCGCGATCTGCGCGCCGTATTCTGTGAGCTGTGCGGCGCCACGTTCGCGCCAACCGCGCCGCGAGCGCCGCGGACATTCGTGTGAGTGCGGCGGGCCGCGGCGCTTTCTACGTGTGCGTCGACCGCGGGCCGTCCGCGCGCGACGGGTGGGGGGATCGGGGAGGGGCGCGCATCTGCCCTGTGGCGCGCGCTTCATTTTGTGTAAAGCAACTTGCCGGCTGCACATTGTACCACTTGTAGTGTTTAGATGTCTGTACAATGTACTTGAGGACTTCGACGTTCGTTTTAAACATAAATAGAACTTATTGTCGTTTGTGTGTCGAATTCGGGGGAGTGTTTTCGGGCGGCGTCTCACTGTTGGATAGCGCACTGTTCGTGGACCCACTCATTTCAGTTTTAGTGTTTTGTTCGGTTTTAATACCAGACTACGGCATTCGTTAATCGCTTTTCCCGACATCTGGCGATACGCGCATTCAAGCGAACGAATGCTCGGATGCTGACCAGTGACCGATCACATTGCGGTAATCATCCGTCACTTACCATGTTGGACACTGAATCCACACGGACAGATATTCGAGGACAGGCTGATCTCAGACATTTGGGCGAGACGTCAGGACGCCGGCCCACTCCGAGTGAGCTGACACCGCCGCGCCAGTCGGACGGTCGGGCGCTGGGGAGAGATTTCACACCTCTGAGTGAGGCTCCTGGCGGGGCTCCAGATGAGTCGCCCGTCACCACCGAGGTCCGACTGCCGCTGCGACTGATAGCCTGAGGTCTTAGGAGTGATTTGGGATGAGGGTTGCGTCACTCATTATTTACTTCAGGAACACTCGCCGACCGTCGGCACCAACAGGCATTTGCTACCGAGTCGTGGTAGGTAGCAGGATAAGAGAAAGGCCGAGAGCGCGAGATTCGTTGAAAGTGACGGCACACAACTGCAAAACCAAATTGACATGTAGGGAACGGTCAGCACATTGCCGGCACGAATTGCTGGCGCATTTATTTGTCACCGACTACCGCCGTGACCTGTTTTCCTACGCTCCATCAGCAATGGTTCCAGGACTTCTCACTCTAATGAGGTACTACGAGCTATGCCAAGGCATACGGTGTTCGAAAACTCAAACAGGGTACATTGAATTAGGAACACAAATACTTGAGAAAAGTAATTCAGTTATTTGGTTGCCAGATCACACGGATTATAGGAGAAACGGGTATTTCTACGCTGTTAACCAGAGAGAAAATGGGCAGTCAGGCATTGCGGTACAGCATCATTCCAGGCGTTTTCAGTAGTGTCATCTAGCGGCGAGAATACAAGTAGATCGGGTGATGCGGCACAGTTTCACTCCCGGCGTTTTCACTAGTGTTATCTAGCGGCAAGAATGAAAGTAGGTCGGGTAATGCGGCACAGTTTCACTCCCGGCGTTTTACTAGTGTTATCTAGCGGCGATCATGTAAGTAGTTCGGGTAATGCGGCACAGTTTCACTCCCGGCGTTTGCTGACGTTTCAACGAAGGGGTTTCGAGTCTTCGAGAGACCTACAAGGCTCGAGTGGACATGCGGGCATAACGTTTTTCTTAATATTCCAACATAGAAGTCGTAAATGCTCCAACGCTAGTAAAAAAAACACTCATTGCAATTTATGCTTGAAGCGAATAAGGAATATAGGTTCGTGCTTTCTATTGGGTTCGGATTCCGGGAATTAGGTAGCAGTACCTATGACTCGCCATGTTTTAGCTGGAGTCTTACTACTGCGTTCAATGAGTAGTAGCAATGCGCTTCAAAAATCAAATACATGACTGACGGCTCGTATACCTCGACTTTATCGTTCGCCGGCCTCTGTGATGACTGATGAGTGTGTACTGTCGGAATATGAGCGCCAGCAATTCGTAGGTATGATATGTGTCGAGGGTTAGATTAGGTTCTGCCTGCAAATAGGTCTTATGACTCTAAATATCAATCCTCCCGTCTATCCTAATAGACGACAAGAATATTCTCTAGAAGATTATAGGTATACGCTCTCGATATGGTGCTAAGTTGCTGCAGCCACAAACACGATATATATAGCCGATAGCGCTCTGAATGAGACATTATTTCCTACTTATAAGTTACACAGCAGAGTACCAATATGGTAATTATGTGATGCTGATGCCAAATAGCCTGGACATGCTTATCATTGTCTCCGAGCTGATGTCTGGTGTGAGTGGGACACCAGTCGTTGTCGAGACACCTGTGTCCCGTCAGACGCCCCCGGTGGGCGGCTCCGTCACTCGGGCCGATCAGTGGGGCCGGCGCGCTCGCGCTCCGCGGTCAGCTCGGGCGGCCGGCCAGTGGCCTGAATTCCCCTCGACCCAGAGCGGTGACACACCGGCCTAGTCTCCCTCCCCCACCCCAGACGACCGTCCCCCCGTCCCGTCGCCGAAAAGGCGCGACCGTCCACCTGATCAGACTGCCGCGCTCGCGCTCAAAAATAGCGCGCGCCAGTGTCAGGGCGCGCGCGCGCTGCGACCGCCCTGTGTTGGCGCGGTCGGATGCCAGCCGCTGGGCGGTGCCGCCGGGGCGCGTCTCTCTCGGCCTGCACACGTCTGTGTCGCTCGGTCAGTGGAGGAGGCCGCGGCTGGTCCGTCCCCGTCCAGAGTCCGTCCCGCTCCGCTCCGACAGGTGAGCCGCGCCCGAGACCTGCGGGGAAACGGGAAACGGGGAGGGGCGAGAGGGGGCGGGGTCGAACAATCCGGGAGAGATTTACAGAGGGAGGCTCAATACTCTTCGTACGTCGGTGGGGTTGGTACACAAAGCAGTTTCGTTCCCATAGGCAACATCGACGAAGCGAAGCTATATGGCCTGTCACATGGCTCGTGCATCACATCCATCACACCGCCTCTTCCAATATGCGCGATAAATGCTAAACAAATTGCAAGCTTCCTTCGCTGCAGTTGTGTCAATAAGACGCTGACATACTGTTCACCCGGAGGTAAGTATCTTTGAAACTATGCACCGTAGAGCTTTTGAATCAATTGATCGATATACATATTTGACATAAATGCGACTCTTACTTTGGGCGCCGACATTGATCTGACCTTATGTCGTCATCCCGGGGGCCACGTAGGATCAGCATTCTTTGACTGATTTAAGTACCTATGGCTTCGATAAAAAGGTGCATTGAAATCAGGGGCGCTATACTCTCTCTCTCTCTCTCTCTCTCTCTCTCTCTCTCTCTCTCTCTCTCTCTCTCTCTCTCTCTCTCTCTCTCTCTCTCTCTCTCTCTCTCTCTCTCTCTCTCTCTTTATCTCTCTCTCTGCGACTGTGTAGGGTTGACGTAGCGTCCTTTGTTTCATATTTTTAGCTGCGATACGAAGCACAAGGTCGCCATCCGTTCACCTTACTCACGACCTCACAATAGTCCTTTATTTTGTCAGGGACACTTCATCCGCGCCGTTCTAGCGCGCTTCTGCTGAATTCCGACGGACACCGCAAAAAGCGGACACAGCAATTCGTCACATCATTTCTATTGCTCCTTCTCTTCATATGAGAAGATTATCACTTTCCTTCAGACGACAAGGTCATGTTTTTCGTCCCAGTGTCAGAGGGAGCTGCTGGTAGCCGTGCAATACTCACTGCAGCAGTCAGCACACTGGCACTCAAAAAGCCCCTGTTCGCACGCACAGGACGGAAGCGGGCGGGAGTCTTTTGTCGCTAAGCCAAACAGAGCTGTTTGTGTACGAACAAACGTTCAATGCACGACAAACACCGTCAGTTTTGGTGGAGATAAAGGTTCCATTCGGATGACAAGGACATTGGTTAATTTTCCGTCTATGTGGAGGGATTATCTCTACAGGGAATCTAGTCGGTGAACGTTTTGTTGCGCCATAAGTTTATTATTCTTTGTAGGTGTGGGTATAAACATGTTGCAAACAGGATATGCCTCCATACGATCACGTATAGGCTTTACCATAGTGAAATAAATAACACTATGGTTATTTATTACACTATGGCTTTACTCTCTAGGTTTATTGTTTCTCTGCCCGTTTGTGGCGTATGGCCAATAAAAAACAGCATGCAAAAGCAGCAAAATGAATAATTAAAAAATAAAACCTAAACGGTGAAGATAATAAACCTCTCGAATAGTAACCAAGACAGCCGCTCCCGCTGTATCGCCGCAAGGGCGACGGGCGCTCACACTGTTGGACGGAGTTGAGGTCTGACAGATCTGGATTTAGCTCAGCCATGGCCGTCATGTCAGTGGCTCACTTTGTCAAGGTGTTGGACGGACCGCGGCGCCGACCTTGCTCAAGGGAGTTGGCGCTGATGAATATACAGATAAAACAGACAGCCCTTTGGATGGGCTGTCTGTATGGCTAACAAGTTTGGGCCCTGTGGCATGTTTGGGCCTTGAGCGTTGGCGTCTATCAGACTGCGAGTTCTTTAAGAAGGTTACTGTCACATCACCGTTGAAGTCACCAGCAGATCAGAACGTCTCAGGAAAGCGGGTACGGGAGTGCGTGCCGGAGTCAGTCGGGATCCTCTGCTCAGGTGACAGTTGACAGATGGCTTTGACAGCTGAGGAGCAGCCGTCATCGTTAGTCAGGGCAGGAGCCGTCGGCAGCCGGTCCGTCAGGAGCCGTCAGTGCCGGCCGGCGGCGGACAGCGGCGGACTCTGTTCACTGTTCAGCCCTCCTGCAGTTACCGCTCCGCTGGACAGCTGAGACTGGGGCCGAGCTGAGGATGGATTGCCTGCTTCATCATCAACGTCATCAGTGTCATCAAATGCTCAGCAGCTGCAGCTGATGTTGGAAAGATCTAGAGCGGTGACGAAAAACGAGACAGATGCGCCGCATCGTGAAGGAGCTCGATCGATTGAAGAGCAACGGTCTCTATGTAAACAGCTGCCGGGAAAATGGTCATTTATCAGGTTGGAGGCGCGATGGCCCGTTTGGTGCGTTGCATTGATGGTTATATGGGTTGTTTAATGTCAGTGATCACGGTAATACCCGACGGTGACATCACGGCGACTATCCTCGCTTCTGTTTCCGATAAAACCCACCTACGCACGACATCAGACGACTTCCGAGCGGCGCCGATCCAAAAACACCGAGCTGCTAATTGATGGCTGGCGTCGCCGGCGGGTTTATTGATGCTGGGAGCGGCAGAGGGCTGGCACGGCCGCCCAGCTCGGGGGCGGGCTGAGCGGTGTCCAGGGTGACTGGAGGGGACCCTGGCGCCCGGCCAGGGTCGCCGACGCCCCGCGGGTGTCTGGGGTCGAGGCCGGGCCGCTCTGCCGCGGTCCGCTGGTCTGGTGCCGGCAGCGCTGGCCGCGGTTGCTGATGGGAAGGCCGGGGAGCCGGGCAGACCGATGAGAAGGCCGCAGGGACAGCGGCAGTGCCAACTCAAACACGACGCGACGGTCACCGGCGGTGGGGATGCACCACCGGGAACCGACGAATCGAACCCATCCGATTACTGGAGCAGTGCAGCGCGTACGGCGTGGTGCGGAGTTCCATCGTCTGAGAGCTAAGGCCACCCCTTCTTTGGACGAGTCCTAGCTGTCTGGTTGAAGACGTTTTCGTGAATTGGACACAGGTGAATTGGACAACCTTTGCTTTATGTTCATTACGTTTCCTTAACGACAGGCGCTTAACTCGTAATTTAATGGTACTCCAGTGGATTAAATTTAATTTTGCATGCAAAGCAACCAACATAAAATATTCCAGCCAGCCGCGCTCTATCGTTGTCCGTGTGGAAGGATCCGGAGCGGTGCCCGTCTATCTGTCGGCAGCCCTTCCCCGGATCAGGAGCGTCCGACTGCCCGTCTCCCGGAGTTCCACGCCAGAGGAGCTGACGCTGCGTCCGTCCGGCTTCCAGATGGAGCTCGGAGAGCCGTACTACGGAGACGCCGGCGACCCGTACTACGGAGACGTCGGAGATCCGTACGGCGACGGCGCGTACTTCGAGGATGACGGAGATGGGGTGTCCTGGCAGCGGCCGCGCCGGCCGGTCGTCATCGGGGCCAACTGGAGACGCCGCACCAAGCGCACCTACGACTACATCCACCGGCTGCGGGAGGCCTACTACGAGCCGATGACCGACTACCTGGACCGGCGCAACGGCGGCTGGCATGCCACGGCCCGGCCGCCGGCAGCGCGCTCCTTCGACGAGCGCGTCTGCTCGACCCGGTACGGTCCGCGGGCGCGGGCCAGCCCGCCGCCGCGGCCGCCGCCCGTCCCTGAGTATCACCGCAAGACGTTCAGCGACGACCTGCTGGAGGCGCTGGGGGTGTCGCTGCCGGACCCGGCGCGCCTGCCCGACCCCAGGGAGCTGCGGAAGGAGGACCCGGTGGTGCGCGGCCCGCAGCGCCCGCAGCAGTTCCACAACTACGTGCCCACCACCAGCGACAAGATTCTGGAGGCGATGGGGGTGCGCCCGCGCGGCTTCTCCGAGCTGCCGGACGCGCTGGAGCCGACGCTGGACGGGGCGATGGTGGCGGCCGATCCCGCCGGACGCCGCGCTGCCTCGGAGGAGTGATGGCGATGGAAGCAGGGATGGAGACGGAGACGGAGACTGAGATGATGCACGGAGACGGAGGCGGGCAGTGAAGCGAATACGGAGGTGAAACCGGGAGGGGCCAGGAGACGGCCGAAGAGAGATGAAAGGCCGAATTTTGTGGTATCAGGTTCTGCAGCCCGGATAAGAGGTCCGAAAGGTCACGGGCAGTATCAAGACAAGCTTAGTCAAATTTGTAGATATGAAAAAGTTCAAAACTTAACATGTTGACAAGAAAAAAGAGTGAGCGTGGCAAAACTAAAAGTTCAGTCCGGTACCGCTTCATAGACTCCGAACAGTAATGATACGGCATTATCGCTGGCACCTACATCGCTTAAAATGAAGTCTTTTGAGAAGTGACATCAGCAATAGACGGTCGCAATAGACAGACGGTCGCAATAGACAGTCGTTCAGGTCTCATTTACACCAATCAACCCATATACGCAACCAAAGTGTGACGTCATGACTAGTGGCTGGGGCATAATCAGCTGACGGCTCTGTGTTAAAGCAATGGGACGAAATTTTATCAGTATTTTTAGAACAAACTGGACCTAGTTAGATAGTTTGGGGGCCAGTTTCTAGGTAAACTGAGTATATTCTATTTTTCTACGCCCAAAAAATGCTATATTTCAAAGCGGGAAGGACCGAATTTCGCGAAATTGTTACAGGCGGCGAACTTGACGCACCAAATACATGACCTTGAGACGCGAACTGTGACCGCGTCGGGAGGATTTTGATGCGTAAGGTTTGACATATTTGAGTTTGAGCTGGATAAATATTTTTTATTTATAAAAAGCAAAGGATAAAATACACCATATAAGTTATTTTGAAAATCTTTTTTATTTTAAATCTATTATTTTAAACCTCTTGATCTAAAATGTTTTGTATTTCTGCGTCAACTTCGCCGCCAATTAGGTTCTCACGAAATTTTGTGCTTTGCGTTATTAGATTTTGCAATATTTTTTCATAGAAAAATAGATCATACATCGTTGTCCTAAATTCAGCTACTAAAACTATCTAACTAGGTCCAGTTTTATTGGGAAAGATCGGCAAAATATTGCCCCATTGCTTTAGCACGGGGCCGTCAGGTGACTATGCCCCAACCACTTATCGTGACGTCACGA